TCCATATCCTCTCTCTGGAAAACCTAGCCCTACTTAACCTTGCTCCGGGTGTCCCAAATGTGGGCTGGGAAGCGGCTGCTGGGCCTCCGAATGCGATGGGCACGTTCCGGCCCCGTGGGTGTTGAGGCCTGGTCTTGACAGTGTGGTACTTGGGCCGTAACATCATATGTTGTCACATTATTTTTGCCACACTTGCCTAACATGAGGCGCTTAAATTCTTAGTCAAACTTTGACTTGCCTTAAAGAATCTTGGCATACTTTCATGTGTATAACATGTGGGGCTTATGCTTACAAAACGATTCTTGTCTTACGTATGGATAAAACCAAGCACGCACTTAACTTGATCAAATTTTCCTAATTTAAGGTGTGGTAAATTGTGACAAGATGTGGTTAAGAACCAAACGGCCCCAGGACGTTATGCTTGCTAATGATCTGCTACATGGAGAGTTGATGGCATGCATTCTGTGCGCCGATTGTTAGAATTCTTTGTTTTAAAATTCTTCTTCAGTGTTCTCTGAACTGTACTAGTGTCCTCATCCTTGGATGCCATGACCTTAACCGACGTGGTATCGGCATTGACGATCCAAATCCGAAACAAAACAGTTGGCATGCTTAAAAATCTGATGTTAGATTTTTAATGGTCTACCGGATTACGGTGACGTGGCCCATTCCAAACTAGCGTGATAGTCGGCTTCGGGACGTGACCCATTCCAATTCCAGACTAGTGTACTCTATTTTCTACTAATCTGAGCAGTAATAAAGCACCAAATTTTATAAAGTCCTCATATGCAACTTGGGGCAAAGATGCATTAATATTCGTTAACTTCACCTTCTAAATTTGACGGGATGCATGTTCCAACAAAAACTTGATGGGATGAAAGAATAAAGGTCCAATTGTTTTTGTTTCTTCGCGATAGAAAAGAATTTGCAGCTACTCCCTCCGTTTCTAAATATTTGTTTTTTTAGAGATTTTAAATGGACTATCACATACGGATGTATATAAACATATTTTAAAATGTAGATTCACTTATTTTGTTTTGTTTGTAGTCATTTGTTAAAATCTCTAAATAGACAAATATTTAAAAACGGAGGAAGTACCATTTTTAAAAACTTCGATTAAAAGAGGTCGTGGGAGCGAGGCAGCGTGACACAGCACAGCTCAATCTGGTGGAACCCAACCGACTAGGAAAGAAAAAAGGAGAGGCCGTGTGGTGTGCCCCGGTCTCCCTCCCTCGCGCACCAATCCGAAACCCCACCAAACCCTCGCACCGCCGCCGACCACCGATGGCGCCGCTGATCGACGACGTCACCGCCGAGATCCTCCTCCGCCTCCCGCCGGACGAGCCCGAGCACCTCTTCCGTGCCGCGCTCGTCTGCAAGCCCTGGCTCCGCGTTCTCTGCGACCCCGGCTTCCGCCGCCGCTACCGCACCTTCCACGGCACCCCTCCACTTCTGGGCCTCCTCCACAGGCTCCAGGTCATCCAAGGAGACCCCGCCCCCCGGCTCGCCCCCACCACATCGGCGCCCCTCTCTCCCTACCCCAACTGCGACCGTTCGCGGGCGCTAGACTGCCGGCATGGCCGCCTCCTCCTCCACGTGTGGGTCAGGGGCAGGGGTTGGCATCTCATCGTCTGGGACCCCGTCACGGGCGACCAGCAGAGCCTCCCGGAGCCCGGCATCCCGTGGCTGATCTACACCGCCGCCGTGTTCTGCCCTGTGGCCGGCTGTGACCACCTTGACTGCCACGGCGGCCCCTTCCGGGTTGTCTTTGTGGCCACCGACGACTATGACGAGCTAGTCAAGGCGGCAGTGTACTCATCAGAGACAGCTGCGTGGAGCACACCAGTGACACTTGACGATGGTTGTGAATCCTATGTTCGGCATAGGCAAGATGTTCTTGCTGCTGGTGTATCATTCTACTATATACCCTATGTCGAGCCTAGGCGGGGTGTCGTTATTGGAGATGAAACCTACTTCACACTTCGGGAGGGTAACGCAATCATCAAATATGACTGGGCCAAGAATTGCATATCCATGGTTGATCCACCGAACCCGAATGTGTACGAAGACGTTGCCCTCATGGTGATGGAGGACAGTTCATTGGGATTTCCCTGCCTTGAGAACTCCATCCTTTATCTGTTCTCAAGGAAGGTGAATGCAGAAGGAGATGCAGAATGGGTGCGCTTCAGGGTCATCAAGCTGGAGACAGTTATACCTGTAGCCGATCCTGATGAGGAACCAGTCGTTGTTGGATGTGCAGAGGGTGTGGGTGTCATATTCGTGAGCACAGATGTCGGCTTATTCACAATCAAGCTAAATTCTGGGCTGGTTAACAAGGTCGCCGAGTCCGGGAAGTACTTCAGCGTCTTACCCTACATGAGCTTCTACACTCCAGGTATGGTACTAGCCCTTGCTTCTTGTCTGTTGTCCTGCAATTTCTTTACAGCCTCTGTATATTTGCTTGATTAGTTTGTTATGGTCTGTGGACAATTAATCATAATGCAAGTAATGTTTGTTGGTTATATGATTGTATAGAGCTTGCTATACACTGTTCTGTATGTGTGCTACTTAAAACTGAGTAATATGGCATTGGAAAACAGAGATCATGATTTTGTTTCGAGAATTAACTTGTTAAGGAGCACAACCAAGCACTAGTGGAATTGCTAAATGTGCTCAGAAACCTATTGATCTAGTATTACCCTGTTACCTTGCTTCAGACTTTCTTTAATAAAACAGTTTGATCTCGTATTTTATTGTTATTTTGTTTCAGATATTCTTTCCAGAATTAGTTTATTATTTTTTGGCATGTCTGAAGCTCACATCCGGAGCTTATTTTTGTAAAGCCTTGGCATTAGTACTTCTGAGGGCAGGCCTGGCGCAGTGGTGAAGTCCTCCCCACTTGTGCCAAGAGGTCCTGGGTTCGAACCAGCCTCTCTGCATTGCACTTTGCAGGGGTAAGACTAGGTTCCTATAATCCCTCCCCAGACCCCACCTTGTGTGGGAGCTTCTATGCACTGGGTCTGTCCTTTTTGGCATTAGTACTTCTATATAGCAAATCAAACTGTAAATGCTGTGTTTGAATGTTAGTTTTGATTATTGTTTTTGCATAATATGTTTTCAGACGATGGTAGATTTTCATCGCTAGCGAGGCTCACTGATGTCTGATGTGCCGCTCAAAAGCAAGAATGCATGACCTCACGAAATGTATGAAGCCACCATCATAAATCGACTGCTGTCAGCTTCTTGCAGAGCTACTGCTATCAAATCTTTTATTTTCTATTGAGTAGTTAAAGCACGACTGGTGCAAGTCATCATGATGAACTAAGGATGCAAATCTTGTCTTATCTGGGCCATTCGATCGGTCCAAAATTCATCAAAAATGGACTAATTCGGATTCCAAGTGGCATTCTTTTTTTTTAGAAAAAGAGGGGTCTCCCTCCTGCCCCGTTTCATTATAAAACGAAGCCAACAACAATTCTAGTGCTGGGATTGAACCCAGAGTAGCCGAACGGACTAAGGCCATGTTCAAATCATTACAAAACCGACCAAATCAAAACTAGCCTAAAGCTACAAGCCAAACATCGCAGATTTTTCATTCTTTCCTCAACCAGTTGGTGTTGGCTACGAGCAATCGGACGTCGGCGCTCATCAGCCGTGTCCAGTGGAAGGGTCAAACCCATCCGGTCCTCGGGAGCTCTCCACGACGATGATCGACTAGACGAAGGGAGCGCAATATCGATGCTGATGTGCCGAATCGCAATTGAAGTTATTTCACACATTCTCCATCTGTTTGGAATTACTTGTTCAAGAAATGAATGTACATCTAGATGTATTTTAATTGTAGATGCATCCATTTTTGTAAACAAGTAATTCCGAACGAAGGGAGTACCTTGTAAAGTCTCCCTGGAGATGAATCAGCAGCTCAACGCCCCATTTTATGAGCAGGAGGTAAAAAATGTTTTATTTTAGATGTTCCCAACAAAAGCCCCGTGGCCGGATTGGCTGCCTGCACTTTTTTTTCCGAAGAAACGAAAACTTTGTCGGGAAGAGGTGACTGGTATGGTTTTGCGGATTCTCAATGAGAGGACTCCATGGAAGAGTTAAACAGAACATTCATCATTATTATCCCTAAGATAGCAAAACTGACACTGTTGTCTCAGTTTCGACCAATAAGCTTGTGCGACGTGATATGTAAAATTGTCTCGAAGGTGCTTGCTAATCGTTTGAAACTTATTCTACTGGAGTAATTGTCTGAAACTTATTCTATCAGAGTAATTGTCTGAAGCTTATTCTATCTGAGATTATTTTTGTCGAAAATCTGATTTCGTGCCAGGTAGACTCACTACTAACAATATGATAACGACATATGAATGCCTGCATTACATGAAAATTGAAAGGGGAAAGAAGAATACTTGTTATGCTCTAAAGCTCGATATGATGAAGACCTATGATCAGATGGAATGAAAGTATTTGGAAGGGGTTATGCTCAAGCTTGGTTTTAATGCTAGTTGGTTTGAAAGGGTAATGAGGTGTGTTGTCTCGGTGTCCTTCTCAGTTATCTTTAATGGAGACAAGCTAGAAGTATTTAGACCAACTAGAAGTATTCGACAAGGTGACTCTATCTCACTCTACTTGTTTTTGCTAGCGGCTGAAGAACTTTCACGCTTGATAAAAGGCCGGGGTAAACAATAATGATGTAGCATGTATAAAAGTGGTACCTACGACACCATGTGTTAATCATTTATTATTTACAGATGATAGCATTTCATTTTTCAAAGCAAATGAGGCAGAGGCTCAGCCCGACGCCCTGGTGGGCAGTGGTGGTGGGAGGTGTGGGTGCCGCGCAGCAGGAGGGCGTGACGGCATAAAAGGTGGCCGGCGAGTGCAGACGAAAACCCCCACTCGGCTCGCGTCGGTGGCGGGCATCCTCCTCTCGCATGGCGAGGGGTCCGACTAGTGTGGCGCGTTGGCCTTGGAAGATGGGCTCCGCGGGCGTTGGGCGGACGCTAGGGTGGCGGCGCTGGGCCTCTTCCTCTTCGGCGGCGGTGCCATGACGCGAATTTGGATCGGGGCGCGGCTCGGCTGGTGGCGGCGTGCCCT